CTGAGGTCGGGCTGACCCAAAAATAATGAAGAAAACTAAACCAAAAATGTAAAAACCGGCCGAAGAGTAGAAGACTATATTCCACTGCTTAAGACTCCCATACTTTATATGCAAAGAAAGTTTGTTTCAAACAATTAAAAATTAAATTATATTTTTAGTGATATGTCTTACACTTCCTTCCAAGAAGTAGCCCACATATAGAGGCGCTAAAATACCGGGCAAACTAGCGATGGCATTGGTTATGCCATATATAGTGCCCGAATGGTCGGGCGCTATGTCCACAACCACTGGCTTATCGCCGCCGGCGTTCAAACCAAATATAATCATTGCTATGACTAACAGTACGATCACTAAAGTGAGATCGCATTTGACTAGTGGTATGAGTGCCAGACAAACAGCCGGTCCGCCCAAAGCGATCGTCTCAAATATTTTGCGGGAAAGGGTATCATTGATGAGCCGTTTCTGTCCGATCCAATCAGATATGAATCCAAATGATGTGAGCGATACACTCAACGCCACATAGACTACAGCCGTTATAATGCCATTCTGTAGACAATATCAGTTAGATATCTATTATTTTCATATTTAGCTAATTGTTTGCTAACTTATTGTTTCCTTTAAATTAATTGTTTCCCGAAATAAATGTTTTTTTCAAGTATGAGTGTATGAATAGTCTTTTACAGTAGTAATGAAATACTTTAAAATAATAAGTCTTGAAAAAACCCAATAACTGGTTATTTGCATACTTTTCAATTTACAACTAAAGTAATTATGTTTTATGTCTTAATATGAGTTTTAAGACTAATTGCTTGAAATATCATTATTTGTGGGATTAATACAGTGCTTTCAACTCATTTTTACTTTTGCTTATCAGATAAAACAATTGAGTGAATTTAAAATATGTGGATAATTTTTAAAACGTGTTTCTTAATTTCTTTTTAAACATAAAATATCACATTTTCCTTCACTTATATTATATTTATATTATTATAAAATTTGCGAAAATAAATACTTTTGACTGATATATGAAGTGAAGCGTTAGTTTTCAAGTGAGAAATACTATTAATTATGAGACAAATAATTAATGATTTTATAGATTAATCTCAATATTGCTTAACTTTTGTCAAAGAAACTTTTTTCGCTAAAATACTCAATTAGGGTTTGAAATGAAAATTAACATGCTAACCGTTAACCCATTTGCTATCTTATGATACAAATCAGATAAATGTAATTAGAAAAACAAACAAACTTACAAAAAATTTTGTTAACTAATTGTTTAACAAAAAATACACACCATTTCGATGGACATGTGTAGCACCGACTCGAGATAAGTGGGCAGTTTGGACATCAGCATTAGGTTACCCCACGCGCCGCAAAACTTGGCTACAGCTATGGCCCACATGGGAAGGGACAGTAAGATGGCTTTCCACGGGATGATCTTTTTTCTAGCCTTTTCTGCGTTAAGGAACGACACGTTTATGTTGTCCATAATTAACTGCAACTCGGAGTCCGATATGCGGGGATGTTGTGCCGGTGTGTCATATACAACAAACATCCAAGCCTGCAATAATTATTATACAGTATATGAATACATATTTGTTGAATACATAGT